TGCCCTTAAAAACATGATTCTAAGAAGGGGTCTCTGGGTCCCCAGCACTGTTATCAGACCTCTCATAACTGCCATGCCTTCTCCCCTTCCTCCAAGCAACTCTACAGCCAAGGGCAGGAAAACCTACAGAGTTCTGTTTTCCTTCTGTAAAAGTATACGCCAAGGATGCTATGCAGAGCGGAAACGAGAGAGATTTTGAAATCAGACAGACTGGGTGAACAATGGGCCCCTCCCCTTTCTGGCTCTATTGACGTGAGCAAGTAATTTATTTATTTTAGCCCCAATGTTGTAATCAGTAAAATGTGGCAAGTAGTACCTACCTCAGAGGGTGGTTGTGAAGATTAAATAAGGCAATATGTGCCTGGTATAGTTCTGGCATGTCCTAGGCATTCAGAAACCACAGCTTTCATTACTGTCATGACTGCAGTCCTCTGCAACATTAATTGTCAGGATGTTTTCCCTTCTCACCTCCAGCTTGGTGGCTATACCTGAATTCCCTGCCGTATCCAGGACTCTGATAACTGGGAAAACTGGGAGGCTTGCTTTTTGTGTTAATATGCATCTTCAGAACACCTTTGGCTTGTCCAGGGTAAATTCTCTTTGCTTTAGTTTTTTTTTTTCCCCCAGTCTTCACAAACCATCTTAATTTCCTTGCCTATAATATTTTCTTCTGAATTACCTTGCTGTGTTAGTTTCCCAGGGCTGCTATAACAAATGACCACAAACTGGGTGGCTCAAAACAGCAGGCATTTATTCTCTTTGTAGAGGCCTGAAGTCTGACATCGGGTGTGGCGGGGCCGCGCTCCCTCTGAGGCCTGGGGGACAGTCTGTTCTGGCCTCCTCCAGCTCTGGTGGGGCAGCAATCCTTGGGGCTCCTTGGCTTACCAACACATCACTCTGATCTTTGCCTCTGTCCTCACGTGACGCCCCCTCTGTTTTTTTATGTCCAAATTCCCTCTTCTTCTGGGCACGCTAGCCATTGGCTTAGGGCTTAATCCAGTATCACTTCATCTCGACTCGATTACGTCCAGAGACACCGTGTTTCCAATTAAGGTCGCATTCCCAGGTGCTGGGGGTTAGGACCTCAATATATCTTTTAGAGGGACACAGTTCCACCCCCAGCACTTGGTACTGCACCCTATACGCTTACTTTAAACCAAGCCTCTGAATGGATATGTGTGACATTGGGTTTTTTGTGCCAATCTTTCTTTTATCCTCAGGTTAATAATTTACTCGCACTGTGGTTTCAAAAAATGTTTTGAAGTATCTAACTGGAGGTAATAAGATCTGTCTTGGCTTTTTTACTTTTGAAAAGTAAAGAAAGGAATCTTGTATAGGAAGAAAAAATGTGGGAGCCCTGAATGGGAAAGTACTTAAAACTGTGCTGAGAAGCAAGAGGTAAAAGGGCAGCCACTCCACTGACAAGTCCGTTTACAAAGTTTACGACTTGGGTGTGAATTGGCCATTCAAGCCGAGAGAGGCCTGAGTGATGTGAAGTTCAGGCTGCTGGATGGTGAGAAGAAGCGGGACTGGGCAGAGCTCAGGCTCGGCCCCTTAGACCACTGCAGTGCTGCAAAGGCAGGAGAGAGTCCCAGAGCATGGACGTGGTCAACTGCGTGTTCCTTCAGTGTGTCTGTGGGCCGCCGCTGCCTGTAGCAGAGTCCGGGGTAGGTGTCGGCTGGTTGGAGAGTGTTGTTTGTTGGTGCTGGGTGTTTGTATTTCCAGGTGTAATCACAGACTCCGTTCCCTGGAAGGAACCTAGGTCGTATTTCGGAAGTTCGTAAACTTTGCTAAAAGAAGATTCAGTTTTAGAATATGCGTCAGAGTTCAAATTTGTTTCACAAGGAATGTAAGTCTCTCTGGTTAAGCATAACTGTTTGAATGTGAGCTTAAATCTGAGGGATTTTACGCCCCTCCCTCCCGCCTTCTGTACTGTTGCCACGAGTAAAATGGACATTTCATTCTTATATATTATTCTGGAATTTTTGCAATTCCCAGAACATTCGGTACCACTAAGGGGGTGTTTTCTCCTTTTATATCTTCAGTGGGAGTGTGTAAATACTTAAAGTGGGATTACAGTGGGTTGTCCATGCCCCCTGCGCGGAACGGGAGCCGACGTGGAAGCACAGTGTGTTCAAGGAGCCGTCCTGCGCCGTCTCCCGCTTTGCGCACCTTCCTCACCACCCTCCGTCACTTCCTGGACTGGCTTTGGTCTCAGGAGGATTTGTTGCTTGAACAACTGAGACAACTGCTTGTTTTCCTAAACCTGTTTCCTTATTTTCTTTTCGCGATCAGTTAGGAAAAGCAGGCTGCATCTTGCATAAGTGCAGGGGAAAAAAAACAAAAACTGCACGTAGATTGTGACCAGACTACTCTTTGCCTGTAATTCCGTTGTACTTCTGTTTTTCTGACACGTTGTTTCTGAATCTTTTGATCACAGAGTGATAATGTAAATGGGTTTATTCTCATTGTGTGCTTAAGTTGTCTGTGCCATTTGATTTAGTAAAACGATCTATAATAGTCTGTTTTTCATACGTAATACAAAAAATAATATTAACTTTTCCATGATTTCTATCATGGTGGTGTCAGAGAGGAAGTTTTATCACTTTGCCTCTACCCTCTTAGGTTAACTTTTTGGACAAAAGACAGATTTTTATTCATGTAAGTGGGAGTTCACAGAAAAATGTGACTGGAGGCAGTGGTTAGAATTGGGGGCTTATATACCATCTTTATAGGGGAAGGGGAGGTGGAGAAGGGCACTCATGGGAAAATGGGTGACTTTCAGGGAAAATAAATGGGCCTGTAGAAGAAGAGATGGGAGAGATGAGTTTTATGACAATGTCTGTTTAGGTGAGGGCTTCTCCTCTGGGGTGACATGTCAGTCTTCCCTGGTTGGAAGGCAGAGAATCCTATCCCAAGGGAGCGGATTTATGATAACTGAGTTCTTTTGGGAGGCTCTGCTTTCAGGCAGAAAAGGGAGTTCAGAAAAAAAGCCTATTCTTAAATGCCTTCAGCTCAAAACAGTTTTTGTGCCACAATGGTGTGTTCTGGACGCCTTCAGTGGTGACTTGAATTAAAGATAGCATTCCAGGCAGTGAGAATGAGTAGACAGGGGCCGGCCCCGTGGCTTAGCGGTTAAGTGCATGCTCTCTGCTGCTGGCGGCCCGGGTTCGGATCCTGGCAGCACACCCACCCACCGCTTGTCAGGCCATGCTGTGGCGGCGTCCCACATAAAGTGGAGCAAGATCGGCATGGATGTTAGCTCAGGGCCAGTCTTACTCAGCAAAAAGAGGAGGATTGGCATGGATGTTAGCTCAGGGCTGATCTTCCTCACAAAAAAAAAAAAAAAAGAATCAGTAGACAGAGAGCTAAGTAGTGACAGCTAGAACCCATTTTCTTTTGAGCAGAGGTCACTTGGTATCGTGGGGAAATTTTCTGGTGTTATGGGAACAGAAATTCTGAGGCCCACATTTCAGTGTCTCGGCTGCTGCTAATTGGCTGTGTGGCCCTGGGCAAGTCACTTCGATTCTCTAGGTCTCAGCTTTCTTGATTTGAAAAATGATGGGCTGGAGTGGGATGGAGTGGAGTATCTGTAAATCCCTTCCTGTTTCCTTTGCTCTTCATCAGATTTGTCGTAGTATATGATCTTAAGGAACCTTCAGGCACATCAGGTTGGAAATTATGGGACTTGCATTTCGGATCTCAGTTGTCACTGATTGGCAAGAGGTGGGACTTGTTGGGCCAGTCCGTCCTCATGGTGGGGCTGGGTTGCCCAGGGCTACATGGCCTGCTCTCCCTGCCCTGCAGTCACATGACTCTTGTCTGATTATTGTAGTTGTCCTCCCTGTGCCCACTTCTGTTTTTATTGTTCTTTTATTTTTAAATAATCTATAGGGATGGAGGAACGGAAGGCACCCAGGCCTGGCTCACAGGCACGGACTTGTGTCTGCTGCATACTTTTGCTGATCCCTCTCTCTGCTCCCTCCGGTGGAGCTCTGCAACAGCCCTCCCCTGGGCCCAGACTTGGGGGTCTGCTGAGATGGAGGTTATCTCTAGGCAGTGCTGACCCCTGAACCAGGGGAGGTTATTCTATGGCACTGCTTTTTAAGAGCAATAATTAACCATGGCTGATAAGGGCTATCTTACTTCCTATTGTTGGATTTCATCCTCACAAGGACGTATTATTCCCCAGGGAATGCTTGGAGAACTAAACCCACAGAAGTTCAGTAACTTGCGTGAGGTTACCGAGCTAGCTAGTGGCCCAGCCTGACTGCAACATAAGTCTGCCCATTTCCAAACTTCCTGGGTTTTTTCCTAGAGAAAGTTATTTGAAAAATTAGAAAGTATTGCCTAATTTAGGATCATAGACTCTCCAGCTGTGGGATTGTCTAGTCTGAAATCTGAGATCTTGAAAGGTTAGTTGTGATTTGTCCAAGCTCACAGCTGGTTAATAGCCTGATCTAGTTCTTTGAATCCTAGTTCAGTGCTCTCTCCATCAGAACTTAAGTTGAGTCATTGAATGTCAGACCCTAAGAGCCCAGACTTCTTAAAGCACCTTCTATTTTTAAACATTATTGAAAGAACATACCTTAGAGTAGCAACAATAGCATTGCACATTCATTTCTTCTACTGGCAGGCCTGCATTTCCTCCACGCTATTGTTATGTGTATTTGGTGACACCTACCATAGTTAAAAGTTCTTTCTATTAACTCACATAGTGCTGATTTTCTTAATATCTTTTATCATAGCTCATCATTGGTCACCAAACATCGCGATTTAAATTATGGTTTTAATTCAGTCACCAATTAAAGATAGATTTGCCTATTTTAATCCACATTTCAGTTATGTCTCTCTATTATACAAATAACTTTTAAAATAAACAAGTAAATCAAGAAAGCCTTGGGGCAGGGCTGAGGAAGGTGGGAGGGAATGTATACTTGTTCTTTTTTAATACCTTCCTGGATATTGGCCCTCATCTAACTTGTTCGCATTTGAAAAGGTTGTTACTGAGGAATCCTGGAGGCGGGGCTCATCACAGGAGGAAGAAAGGACTGAGGCTCAGAGGATCACCAGGAGGAGATGGGGTTCTGGGAGAAGGTCAAGGCCTCGACCGCTCTCCGATTATGGCCAGTTGGCCAGCCGAAGTTTGTCTATTCCTGAAGACTCAATTGCTGTAGACCCCCAGAAAGAGGACATTGTGGACGGTGACCACCAGCCACGCATGGCCTCCACGGACCCTGCAGACCGGAACCCTGCCGTAGGCTGCCCCAAAGGAAGCCGGAGAAGACGCCCCATCTCTGTGATAGGTGGGGTCAGCCTCTATGGGAACAGCCAGGCAGAGGAAATAGAGAATCTTCTAGCCCAAGTAAGACCTGATGTGCTTCTCCCAAAGCCAGAGAGCCCTCCAGCTTCCCGGCCTTTGTTCTCTGCTGCAAACTAAACAGAGGCCTGCTTTCCTTTCTCCTCTCTGCCTCCAGGATGGCGTCATCTGCTCCAGCCTTTCTTCCTGACTTTGTCTGAAAACACGCATGAATTAAAACTAACCGTCTGACGTTTGGATGCTTCTTACTAATCTTCTGCCTTTCCTGGTGTCTCGAGTTATATGTGACACTAGTTTGCTGTTTGTTCTAAATCATCTGAGATTTGAATGAGGGGAAAGTAGCAGTGCATATTTAGTGAGCCTTCTGCAAGAAGAAATTCTCGACAGAGAAAGTGTCCCCCGTTGTTAAAATGTAAAGATAAGAAGAAAATAAAGAAGAAATCAATTTTTTAGGAGATAAGGAAATAATTGTTTTCTATCATTTTCTTACTCTTTACATTGGAGTTGCAGCTTTGCAACTGCTTTGACAGTAGATTAACATCTTAATAATATTATTGCCTTAGTATATTTTAGTAATTCAACACGTATTTATCACTTGCCCAAAGAGCACTTTGAGGATACAAACATTTAAATGAAGGCCTGTTCAGGAGGAGTTTATATGATTTGGTGAGACTAATACCCAGCCATGGTCAAGGGTTCACAAAACAGTGTATGAGTAAGTGCCCCATTGCATTTTTTAAACTTGCTAGCTGATATCATAAATAACCCATAAAATTCTCTTAAAAGGGAAATTCTATATTGGTATTGGATTTTATGTTTCCATTCTCTCTGTAGAGCCCAGCACAGTGCCTTGTTTATAGCAAGCACTCAAAAACCTCTTGCATAATTGAATTAAACTGAATTGAATTCTTAAGGTAAAACCAAGTTAAGTTGAAGAACACCACGAACATTTTGTTGTGTTAAGATGCTATACGTGCTAGGAAATAATTCTCAACTAGAGCAAGCTGTAATCTATTCTATCTTGAAACACAGCATAGGGACGCTCTAAAGCACTTAGAAATTACTTCAGTCCAGAGCATCAGAAAAGAGTGCAGTAAGGGAACTTCCTGCACTGTAGCTCATTTAGGGAGTTGGGGGGAAAAATACTACGAAAACCTAAGAAAAGCGTGAACCAACATGGCCTTCGATGCAGTTAGAGGGACAGTTAATATGGAAAATCAAAAGAGCATATAGATGATGCTAAAGAGAACCCGGGGAGATTTGTGGAAACGCAACTCTTCTTTTAAACAAAGCCCAATGTGGTGTTAGTTTAGGTAAACAAGGCTTGTATTCCACAAACACTTACTTGGTGTCTGCGTGTGGATGAGTAAAAGGAGGCCCGAGCAGTGCCAGGCCGTGGTGTCACCCGGGCCGTGGTCTGTGGTGCTGCCCTTGCTTCCTCTGGAGGCTGCTGCTGGGACACGTCTCCCTACCCTTCTGACCCTGCCTCTGGTGAGAAAGCCACCACTTCCTACATCGGCTTCTCCTCTTCTTGGTCGCTTTGCTTTTAGAGTGTTACCTATTGGTATGTCACTGACAAATAAGATGGAATGTGATGCTGGGAGGTAAGAGCCATTGAGTTGATACTGGCTTTTTAAGATTTTAGAGGAATTAATTGCAGTTGAGCCTTGGTGCAGCCTGAAGCTTTTGACATGAGTTGGAGAGACCATTTCCCATCTGTGAGTAGCTTTGAGGTGAGAGTGCCGAGCTCCTCGCAGCTGTGTGTGTGAAGAGCTTGCAGGAGCTGCCACTTCCTGGCACCTTCTCACAGCCATTTGCTTTCCTTTTGTAGCCGGCAGCCAGGCCGCCCGTGCCCACTCACCAGGTGCCACCTTACAAAGCGGTTTCGGCCCGATTCCGGCCGCTCACCTTTTCCCAGAGCACACCCATTGGGCTGGACCGCGTGGGACGCCGGCGGCAGATGAGAGCATCCAACAGTGAGTCTCACGGGCCCTCCCTGGTCGGGGGTCTCTCCTTCCAGAAACTGCCTGGAATCCTTGATTTGACTTTCTAGTTAAGCCGAGGTGCCCAGTCGGTTGTGCGCCTTCCTGCCTGTCTTGGCCAAGGTGTTGTTTGCCTGGTACTGAGGAAGGCTCATCCCAGGAGCTACTCTTGCAGGCTTGGGTTCGTCTTCAGCTGTCCAGGGTGGGTGCTCTGCGTCATCACAGTGATCCTAAGTTGAGAAGCTTGCTCTTCTCATAGTGTCTGTACCTAAATTTCTACGGGTGGAGATCTGATTACGAATGGAGTCCCAGGGATTTGCCTTAACCTTTTCAAAGCTCTTTCTGGAGGTTTGAGATTTACCAATACTGTTTGGAACACCAAAAACAAGTTTAATGTAGTAGTTAATATGCTATCATAGTACTTACCCAATAAATGCTTGTTGATTTGAATTAATACCACATGTTTGGGAATGACTTATAAATTCCTAACAAAGAAAATCTTTCCCTACACTAATGTTCATGTCACTGCCAGTCAGCTGGTTGGATAATGGCATGGCCGGGCACACACTAGACGAGGATAATAAGAGCTCACATCGACTGAGCACTTGCCGTGTGGCAGACACCGTCGTCCTGTGTGCTCTGGTGTATGGTCCTAACCACATGCTGTGGTGGATACTATTATTATCCTCATTTTATGGATGAGAAAGCCCAGGTATAAATAGCTGAACTGCCCTTGAGTCACTCACCCCGGAAGTGGCAGAAATGAGGTTTGAATCTACAGTCAAATAGAATTTTCAATACCATGGCCCATGTTTTTAACACAGAGCTATACTGACTGTAAAGAATTGCAGCTGACTATTAATGATTATAGCTTCAGTTGCTGGGTTTACTGTCTTACTTTTAAAAACGAATATCGTGTAGTGAGTGTGAGAGTGATGAACTGGGAGTTAGGAGGCCTGGCTTCTGATTCCAGCACTGCCGCTAACTCCAGGTGTGGGCATGATGGTGGTGACAGAAGCCATAAGAAGAGGTGAGATTTAAATAGTGTAGTTTCAAGAGACTTCTTCAAGAGAGAGGAGGAGGGGAAACAGAATGGGTTGGAGAAGGGAAAGAGAGCAAGTCGGTGTGGCCTCACTGGTCAGGGGAGGCGTTCTAAAGACAGAGGGTGAAGGGCCGGCCCCGTGGCTTGGTGGTTAAGTGAGCGCGCTCCACTGCTGGCGACCCGGGTTCGGATCCCGGGCGCGCACCGACGCGCTGCTTCTCCGGCCATGCTGAGGCCGCGTCCCACATACAGCAACTAGAAGGATGTGCAGCTATGACACACAACTATCTACTGGGGCTTTGGGGGGAAAAATAAATAAATAAAATCTTTAAAGACAGAGGGTGAAGACTGGTGACCAAGAATGGTGGCAAGGTCACTGATGGGTTCTGACACAGAAATTGTTGGAGAATGTCCTGGGAGGGCCATATGAAGTGGGAGGAGGTCAGAGAGTTGGTGCGTCGTGAGAACATGTTACCACCCCTACTTATTTTGTCTTGGTTTCTAACTCATGTCACATATATCAGGAGGAATCAAGGTTAGACTCTTCCGTCAAACAGGGTGAAAAGAGAGAGAAATTAGATGGCAGCTAGACGTTGAGGAAATTTGGGCCATCTCCTGCCTTTGTCGTCCTCTCAGCTGAGCAGGCTGGACGCCTTGGAATCATTGCACCCTCACCTTTGGAGTCACTGGGTCCCATCTGTTTGTCCTCAGGGTCACCTGCCTCTCAGGCTCCTTGACCCTACTCTCACGGCTGCCCCTCCCCCATCACGTCCTCCGGCCAGGCTTTCCTACACTCTCTGGTCAGACTTATTGTTCATGTTCAACTCTTACTTTGTTATTTCCTTGCAAACTTTCCCCATCATCAGTGGAATAAAGTCCCAGCTCCTTGAATGAGTTTACAGGTTTTTTTGAAGCCCCAGTCTAACCTTCCAAGTGTTTCTCTCACTTCTCCTGCCAGAGCTTACTGTTCAGCATCCCTTCACAGCTCCAGGCTTTCACATTCCCTCTGCTCCCTCTGCCTAGAATTTCCTTCCTTCACTGTACTATCTGTCAACATTCTTTCTATTCAGAATTCAAAACTCATGCTCTTGTATACCCTTGGTGACAAAGTAAATTCATTGTCATCCTTCTGCAAAGCAGTTTAGCCACCAGTCTAATGTTCATTCTCTCGGATCAGTCATGAGCTTCTGGTGATGTATTCTGAGAAAGTTATCCAAAAGGAGAAAAAAGCTTACACACACAAGATGTTCTTCACAACATTATTTGTGATAGCACAGAAGTTGAAGCAATGTCGTTCTCTGGGCACAGTGGACTGGTGAGTTGGAGTGTTATATTTTGTCAGCTACTTTCAAACAGTTTATAACATAATTAGGAAAACCATGTAACAACATGAAAAGTGACTGCTGTAGTTTTAAAGTGAGAAAAAAGTAGGAAATAAAATCATATGTGTCCTGTATTAGTTTGCTAGGGCTGCCATAACTAAGTACCGCAAACTGGGTGACTTAAACAACAGAAATTTATCTTCTCAGTTCTGGAAGTCAGGTGAAGGTGTTGGCAGGGTTGGTTCCCTCTGTCAGGCTCTCTCCTAGCTTCAGGGCCCGTGTGCCTTGGCATGTAGATGTATTGCCCTTATCTCTGTCTTCATCTTCACTTGATGTTCTCCATGTCGTATTGAATTAGGGCCCACCCTAATGATCTCATCTTAACTTGATCATCTACTAAGACCTTATTTCCAAATTCATTCACTGGTACTAGGGGTTAGGATTTCTGCATCTTTTGGGGGCACACAATTCCACCCATAATGTATACCATGATTGCAACCATATACAACATGTACACATATGGTCAAAGATTTAACAAGAATATGCAGAAATGAAGGTAGTGTGGTTAGGGTGGTAGGAATATAGATGATTTCTCTTCCAACCCTATGCACACATAAATAGCTTATTTCTGTGCTTTCTGTAAGTGTTTTGTTTTGTGTCGATGTTAGTGTTCTTTTGTTGAGAAGCAACAAAAACTAACTCTGACTAGCTTAAGTAAAAAGAATTTATTGGAAGGGCGTCAGGTGTTCCCAAAATTGATGGAATGGCTAGGAAACCAGCCTAGGAAATGGATGGCGGTCAGGGTTGGCCCTGGGAGCCAAGGAACCACATGGAAGGAGCCAAGGAAGGCATGTAGCAGGAAGACTGGCCATAGTGCCACCCCTGGGAATGAGTGAAGGCCAACTAACCCTCCTGTCCTTCTGTTACTCATTCAAGAGTCAAAGTCTCAGGATAGGGAGAATTTATGCCCTGATTTGTATCTCAGAGAGGAAGGACGGTTTGTGGGAGAAAAGGCAGAGGAAGAAAAACTGATTTGAAGGTTATTGCGTGAGTCCAGTTGAAAAACGATGGCAACAGTGACCATAAAAGACATCCATGTCTTCCTTGAGTGCTCATTTTCTCAGTACCCAAGGAGGCTAAAATGGCTAGCCTTGGTTCTAACTCAGTGGGGCCAGGGCTGTGAATCCCAGTGGAAGTACTTCTCTCTTGGAGGAATACATTCAGTTTTGACAGAGCAGAGTTACTGGATGGGAAGAGAATATTTTGCAAATATATTTTTAAGGAATCATAAGAAGCAGCCCCTGTGTTTACCCTTTGTTTCCAGACCCATATATTTTGGCTATGGGTGAACATCATTATGTCAGTCACATACCCCATCCAGGACAGCATCGCAACTTCAAGATGTGTCCCCAAGCTGCCTCATAACTTCATTTTCATTACGCCATTATTCTGTTTGGTATGATCCCATGTTTCTGGGTGATGGTAAACGAGATAAAGCTAGTGACACTCGTGGGCACTGGCCTGTCACCCCGTACTTCTGTCACTGGGGAGTCCTCGGGTAGAATCAGTGTTGTGTGATATGCCAGAACAGTGGATGAGGCCTTCAGCGAGATTCCAGCAGAAGTCTGACAGGTAAGGAAAACAAATCCAAATCTGGAATAAGTGTCTTTTCCAGTAAGGACAAATCATCTACCCCTCTATTATGAAAAGGATCCATTGTAATCAACTTTCCACAAGTAGCTGTCTGGTTCCTTCAAGGAACCATATCATTAACTTTGTTGAAGGGGACAGCCTGTAGTTTAACTCAGGCTTGGCATCCATTTCTGCCACCATGGCCTTTTTTTTTTTTTTAAACCCACTGAATAAGCATCAAGATGACTAGGAACAAAGATTGACATTTACAGAATGGAACATAATGTCCACACAATTATTAAGCAGCCTCTTTTGCAATAGGATTCACATGGGACACAATTAGACATTCACTTGGGACAGACTTTGAGTGTGTTCTGATGTATCTAATCATACTCCTTCCCCAAACCAGTCCATTACCCATTTTGTTCTTTCTAAATTCCTCCAAGCCATTCAACCAAGCTATTTGCTCCTAACCATGAATCCACACAAGCTAAATCCCTACTGACTCAGGCCGTCTGTCCTTTCAGGCAGAAAGGATTAGGAAGAGCGTTGCTTAGATTTGACTACCAGGGGATTTCCCTTTCCTGGGGGCACAGTTACCTTTTGGGAAGGCTAGAAGGAATGTGGTAATAGAGGGATGCCTACCCCAAGGTTACGTGGCTTCTGCATCATAAAGAGGCCTGGGTCTGGGAATCAGCTTAGATCTGGCAGCTGAGTGAGGGCCCTTGATTCATAATCGTAGTGATTCAAGTCAGGGAGATTTCCTACTACACGAATCAAGTAGTGCCTCAGTAGAGTTTCTCATCAGTTTTGTTCCTAGGAATCTGTAATAAGTTAAGCACAGCCAGAGATCTTGCAGATCAGACCATTCCAATGACCAAGCTGACCCTGCTGCCTAGTACAGATACTATGCCCACTTTACCTGTGACAGATGTCCCACCTGCATGGAGATCCTGGACTTCATTGCAACAGAAGCATCTTGCACCAGCTTCCCTTGC